TAGAATCTTCAGAATCTTCGGAACGTTCGGAGTGTTCGAAATTTTTGGAATCTTCGGAATACTTAGGATCTTTATAAACTTTAGAATTTTCGAATCCTTAGAATGCCTAAAACTATTAAAATCTCTAGAAACTATAGAATCTCTAGAATCTTTAGAATTTCTTTAACAACTTCTGGGGTCTCTGGAATTTATAGAATCTGCAATCTCCCGACTTTCTGAAAACTCGTGATTCTCTGGAATATCTTGAATCTCTTGAATTTCTTAAATCACTGAAATCTCTTGAGTCTCTGACGTTTCTTGAATCTCTTGAGTCTCTTCACTCGCTTGAATCTCTGGAATCTCTGAAATTTCTAGATCTCTAGATGCTGTGAAATCTTTGGTCTCCCTAGAATACCTAGAAACCCTAGCTCCCTACCATCCCTAAAATCCCTAGGACACTAGAACATCTAGAATCTCTAGAATCTGCGAAATCTCTAGAATGTCTAGAATATATATAATCTATAAAATCTCCAAAATTTTAAAAGTTTTCTGAATCTTCAAAATTTTGAGAGTCTTTAGACTTTTGAATTTTTAGAATATCCGAAATGTTTAGAATCTTCAGAATCTTCGGAGGATTCGTAGTCTTCGAAATTTTTGGAATCTTCAGAATACTTAGGATCTTTATAAACTTTAGAATTTTCGAATCCTTAGAATGCTTAAAACAATTAAAATCTCTAGAAACTACAGACACTCTAGAATCTTTAGAATTTCTTTAACCTCTGGAATCTCTGTAACTTGTAGAATCTGGATTCTCTCGACTTTCTGGAATCTCGTGATTCTCTGGAATATCTTAAATCTCTTGAATTTCTTAAATCACTGAAATCTCCTTAGTCTCTTAAGTTTCTTGAATCTCTTGAGTCTTTTCACTCGCGTGAATTTGTGGAATCTCTGAAATTTCTAGAATCTGTGAAATCTTTGGTCTCCCTTGGATACTTAGAAATTTTAGACCCCTACCATCCCTAAAATTCCTAGGACACTAGAACATCTAGAATATCCGAAATCTCTAGATTGTCTAGGATCTGTATAATCTATAAAATCTCCAAAATTTTAAAAGTTTTCTGAATCTTCAAAATGTTGAGAGTCTTCAGATTTTTGAATTTTTGGATTATCCGAAATGTTTAGAATCTTCAGAATCTTCGGAACGTTCGGAGCTTTCGAAATTTTTGGAATCTTCGGAATGCTTAGGATCTTTATAAACTTTAGAATTTTCGAATCCTTAGAATGCTTAAAACTATTAAAATCTCTAGAAACTACAAAATCTCTAGAATCTTTAGAATTTCTTTAACTTCTGGAATTTCTGGAATTTGTAGAATCTTGATTCTCTCGACTTTCTGGAATCTCGTGATTCTCCGGAATATCTTGAATCTCTTGAATTTCTTAAATCACTGAAATCTCTTGAGTCTCTTAAGTTTCTTGAATACCTTGAGCCTCTTCACTGCTTGAATCTCTGGAATCTCGGAAATTTCTAGAATCTCTAGAAGCTGTGAAATCTTTGGTCTCCCAAGAATACCTAGAAACCCTAGATCGCTAAAATCCCTAGGACACTAGAACGTCTAGAATCTCTAGAATCTCCGAAATCTCCAGAATGTCTAGAATCTGTATAATCTATAAAATCTCCAAAATTTTAAAAGTTTTCTGAATCTTCAAAATTTTGAGAACCTTCAGACTTATGAATTTTTAGAATATCCGAAATGTTTAGAATCTTCAGAATCTTCGGAACGTTCGGAGTTTTCGAAATTTTTGGAACCTTCGGAATACTTAGGATCTTTATAAACTTTAGAATTTTCGAATCCTTAGAATGCTTAAAACTATTAAAATCTCTAGAAACTACAGAATCTCTAGAATCTTTAGAATTTCTTTAACCTCTGGAATCTCTGGAATTTGTAGAATCTGGATTCTCTCGACTTTCTGGAATCTCGTGATTCTCCGGAATATCTTGAATCTCTTGAGTCTCTTCACTCGCTTGAATGTTTGGAATCTCTGAAATTTCTAGAATCTCTAGAAGCTGTGAAATCCTTTGGTCTCCCTAGAATACCTAGAAACCCTAGATCCCAACCATCCCTAAAATTCCTAGGACACTAGAACGTCTAGAACCTCTAGAACCTCCAAAATCTCTAGAATGTCTAGAATCTGTATAATCTATAAAATCTCCAAAATTTTAAAAGTTTTCTGAATCTTTAAAATTATGAGAACCTTCAGACTTATGAATTTTTAGAATATCCGAAATGTGTAGAATCTTCAGAATCTTCGGAACGATCGGAGCCTTCGAAATTTTTGGAAACTTCGGAATACTTAGGATCTTTATAAACTTTAGAATTTTCGAATCCTTAGAATGCTTAAAACTATTAAAATCTCTAGAAACTACAGAATCTCTAGAATCTTTAGAATTTCTTTAACCTCCGGAAATTCTGGAATTTATAGAATTTGGATTCACTCGATTTTCTGGAATCTCGTGATTCTCTGGAATATCTTGAATCTCTTGAATTTCTTAAATCACTGAAATCTCTTGAGTCTCTTAAGTTTCTTGAATCTCTTGAGTCTGTTCACTCGCTTGAATCTCTGGAATCTCTGAAATTTCTAGAATCTTTAGAAGCTGTGAAATCTTTGGTCTCCCTAGAATACCTAGAAAGCCTAGATCCCTACAATCCCTAAAATCCCTAGGACACTAGAACATCGAGAATCTCTAGAACCTCCGAAATCTCTAGAATGTCTAGAATCTGTATAATCTATAAAATCTCCAAAATTTTGAAAGTCTTCTGAATCTTCAAAATTTTGAGAACCTTTAGACTTTTGAATTTTTAAAATATCCGAAATGTTTAGAATCTTCAGAATCTTCGGAACGTTCGGAGTCTTCGAAATTTTTGGAATCTTCGGAATACTTAGGATCTTTATAAACTTTAGAATTTTCGAATCCTTAGAATGCCTAAAACTATTAGAATCTCTAGAAACTATAGAATCTCTAGAATCTTTAGAATTTCTTTAACAACCTCTGGGGTCTCTGGAATTTATAGAATCTGCAATCTCTCGACTTTCTGAAACCTCGTGATTCTCTGGAATATCTTGAATCTCTTGAATTTCTTAAATCACTGAAATCTCTTGAGTCTCTGACGTTTCTTGAATCTCTTGAGTCTCTTCACTCGTTTGAATCTCTGGAATCTCTGAAATTTCTAGATCTCTAGAAGCTGTGAAATCTTTGGTCTCCCTAGAATACCTAAAAACTCTATATCCCTACCATCCCTAAAATCCCTAGGACACCACAACATCTAGAATTTCTAGGGCCTCCGAAATCTCTAGAATGTCTAGAATCTATATAATCTATAAAATCTCCAAAATTTTAAAAGTTTTCTGAATCTGCAAAATTTTGAGAACCTTCAGACTTTTGAATTTTTAGAATATCCGAAATGTTTAGAATCTTCAGCATCTTCGGAACGTTCGGAGTCTTCGAAATTTTTGGAATCTTCGAAATGCTTAGGATCTTTATAAACTTTAGAATTTTCGAATCCTTAGAAATGCTTAAAACTATTCAAATCTCTAGAAACTACAAAATCTCTAGAATCTTTAAAATTTCTTTAACAACTTCTGGAATTTCTGGAATTTATAGAATCTGGATTCTCCCGACTTTCTAAAATCTCGTGATTCTCTGGAATATCTTGAATCTCTTGAATTTCTTAAATCACTGAAATCTCTTGAGTCTCTGACGTTTCTCGAATATCTTGAGTCTTTTCACTCGCTTGAATCTCTAGAATCTCTGAAATTTCTAGATCTCTAGAAGCTGTGAAATCTTTGGTCTCCCTAGAATACCTAGAAACCCTAGATCCCTACCATCCCTAAAATCCCTAGGACACTAGAACATCTAGAATATCTAGAATCTCCGAAATCTCTAGAATGTCTAGAATCTGTATAATCTATAAAATCTCCAGAATTTTAAGTTTTCTGAATTTTCAAAATTTTGACGACCTTCAGACTTTTGAATTTTTAGAATATCCGAAATCTTTAGAATCTTCAGAATCTTCGGAGGATTCGGAGTCTTCGAAATTTTTGGAATCTTCCGAATACTTAGGATCTTTATAAACTTTAGAATTTTCGAATCCTTAGAATGCTTAAAACTATTAAAATCTCTAGAAACTATAGAATCTCTAGAATTTCTTTAACCATTGGAATCTATGGAATTTGTAGAATCTGGATTCTCTCGACTTTCTGGAATCTCGTGATTCTCTGGAATATCTTGAATCTCTTGAATTTCTTAAATCACTGAAATCTCTTGAGTGTCTTAAGTTTCTTGAATCTCTTGAGTCTCTTCACTCGCTTGAATCTCTAGGAGCTGTGAAATCTTTGGTCTCCCTAAAATACCTAGAAACCCTAGATCCCTACCATCCCTAAAATCCCTAGGACGCTAGAACATCTAGAATTTCTAGAACCTCCGAAATCTCTAGAATGTCGAGAATCTGTATAATCTATAAAATCTCCAGAATTTTAAGTTTTCTGAATCTTCAAAATTTTGAGAACCTTCAGACCTTTGTGTATCTTCATCAATTTTTTCAAAGTGCAAAAAGTAGCCCCGCCCACCCACCCTCTCTTTTCTTAGAGGACATGTCATTTGCTAAAATCAGTTTCATCTTAGCAAATACTAACTTTTACAAAAAGTTATCAAAATTTGAAACATTAGGAGCTTACTTAGACAGGAATTTTGAACATCTTCTCTAGTGTTTAGTTGGTTATGCTTTAATGGATTTTTCTTTTGTTGGTTTTGTTTTTGTGTATAATTTATAAATGTTTTTTTTTGGTTTATTTATTAATGAAAAATAACAGCTTGTTTTATTAATAATAATGCACGATTACTGGTTGCTATGGCTATTGTCTTAAAAAAAAAATAAAAGGTGGATTTCAGTCACCATTGTTTTTTAGACAGCCATTGGCGTCACAACCCGGGATTGGGTGACCAGGTCAGAAAAAACCCGTCCCACTTGATAAAATCTGTAATTATCTGCATCATTTATATCACATCGAATTTGATTTCCTACGTACATAGTGGATAAAATCTATCACAGTGATGACACCTCCGACGCTTTCTCTGGAAGCATTACCGCGCCCCAGAAAAACCCGTCGGAAAAGTCACAACAAAATAAAATCTTCATCTAGACATAACAAGTCATATAAAAACCATAAACAAGTAGTAAAGACGTGTAGAAAAAACGTACAAATCAAACATCAGTCTATGCTAAGGCTTAGGAAATTCACTCTAAAACAATTCGCAAATAATCCCGGAGTTTGTGCTTTAGTTTCACGTTTGGTCGAAGCGATAGAATTTGGAAAAATTACAAGTTGAGGGTGCAGAGGAGCTGCTGGCCCGTCGTGTTAATAAGCTTGTTGATTTGATTCGCGTGCATGGTTTCCTTGCAGATGATCACGAAGGGCTCGTAGTTCTGGATCTCGTTGAGGATGTCGAGCTCGTTCTCGATATATCCCAGGTCGTTGCCGCCGACGTAGTTCAGCTCGGCGGCCTTGTTGTCGCAGTCGGCGGCCGCGGAGGTGCTGAAGCGCTGCGGAAAGACCTGGACGAGCTGGTCGAGGGTCATGGAAGTGGCGACGTGGGTCAGAATATCTGGATTTTGCGCAATAATAATAATAACGACGACAATTACCACTAGATAACTAACCTTTGAGGAGTTTCTTGTGGAAAAAGCAAACCCTTTTCAGTACTTCGTTCTGACTCAGCCGCAAAATTCGCCTCTGCACCGTCGCTATAAGAAACTTCCATTCGTCAGTGCGTGAGAACCGGTCCTAAAACGTCTTCATTGTAAAAAAATTGGTCAAAGATTGTTTCAACAGAACTTCCCTTGCCCCTGAAGCGTCCAATAAATTGCGCTCCATTGAAAAATTATAATAAATTTTTGCGGATTTTGTTTACTGATAAAGTGATAGTCTCTATAAGGTAAAAAACCAGTGGCAATTTTTTGTTTCGGTTTGTTATTTTAAAGATTTCCTCAATTACCTGATTTTTCAATGTTTAGATTTTATAGTTTTTTGTTTTTTCAATTTTAATTTTTTGAATTTTTTGTTTCTTCAATTTTTCATTTCTTCAAATTTTCGACTTGCAATTTTTGGTTTGGGATTTTTATTTTCTTTACTTTTACAATTTTTCGGTTTTTCAATGTTTTGACTTTATAATTTTTTTGGTTTTTTTATTTTAGATTTTGCAATTTTTCGGTTTAAAATTTCTCGAATTCTCAATTTTTAATTTTTCGATTCTCTAATTTTTCATTTCTTCACATTTTTGACTTTTTTTTATTTAGGTCTTTTATTTTTCCTTTTTGTACAATTGTGCGATTTTATAAACATTTGTTTTTCCAATTACAAGTTTTTCAATATTTCGATTTGGGTTTCTCAAGTTTTCGTTTCGGTTTTTCATTTTCTTTATTTCTTCAATTATTCGATTTTTTAGTGTTTGAATTTTAATTTTTTCAATTTCTTGTTTCTTCAATTTTTATATCTTGCAATTTTTAGGTTTAAATTTAATTCTTTAATTAAGTATTCATTTCTTCTATTTTCGATTCAAAATTTTTTTGTTTTGAGTTTTTATTTTCTTTATTTATATAATTTTTCGATTTTTCATTGTTTCGGTTGTATAATTTTTTGATTTTCCAATTTAAATTTTTCCCAATTTTTCGTTTCAAAATTTCGATTTCAATCATTTTCCAACATTTTGCAGTTCGTCGTTTTTTGTTTTCAAACTTCGATGTTTCCCAATATTAATTTTTTCGAATTTTCCACATTTTGTGTCCCCAGTTTTTCGATTTTTCAAATTTTGAATTTTTCAGTTATCAAATTTTTCAAATTTTAGATATCCTAAGTACTCATTTCGTCAGTTTCTCAAGTTTTAAAATTTAATTTAACTGTTTTGAATTTTTTGTTGCTTTAATTTTTCGATTTGTTCGACTTTTGGATTTTTAAAGTTTACGAATTTTGAAGTTTTCTTTAAATATACGATTGTACAAGGTTTCGATTCTTCAATATTTACGATCTTTAATTCTTGGGATGTTCACTTTTTCGATTTTACGACTTCGAAAATTTCTGGAATTTTAATTCTCAAAATAAAAAAATTCAAAAGTTAATTCGAAAATCGAAGAACTGTAAAATCGAAAATGCAAAATGGAAAAAGTTTAATTCAAAAACTTAAAAAACGGAAAAATTTGTTTGAATTAAAAAAAAAAATAAAAATGAAAAATTGACGTTTCTAAAAATTGTAAAATTTAAATGAAAGTTTAAATAATTGTAAAATTGAAAAAATCCAAAAGTCGAAAAATTGAAAAATTTTAATTTAAAAACTTGAAAAACCGAAAAATGGGAAACTGAAAAAACAAAATTGTAAAATAGCGAAACGAAATTCAAAAATCAGAAAACTGAAAAATTGAAAAATTTTAAATCGGAAAACTTGAAAACTGAAGAAACGTAAAATGAAAAATCCAAAAAAAACAAAAATCGTTTCTTTAATTCAATGATTTTTCAATTTTTCGACTTTCGTTTTTTTAGGTTTACGAATTTTAAAGTTGTTTTAAATTTACAGTTTTACAATTTTTCGATTCTTCAATATTACCAATTTTTATTTTTAATTTTATCGGGTCTTAACTTTTTCGATTTTGCAAAGAAATCTCAATTTTTCGTTTTTTCAAATTTTAGAAACTTTAATTTTTTGGGTTTTACACATTTCGTTTCCACAATTTTTTCTTTAAATTTCCGATTTTCAATTTTTCAGCTTCTTGTTTTTTAATTTTTCGATTTTTTAATTCTTCCGGTGTTTTTCAGTTTTCGAGTTTTTGACATTCTTTTGAATTTTTCCTTTTTTTCCGGTTTTTAGATTTTCTTCAACTTTTCGATTGTTATCTATTTCTCAATTTTCGGTTCATTGGTTTTCGAGTTTTCAAATTTAAGTGTTGCTCAGGTTTTTTTTATATTTTCCAGTTTTTATGTTTTTACAATTTTTCGATTTTATAAAATTTTGCTTTTCCAATTTCATTTTGTTAAATTTTTCGATATGCACTTTTATCATTTTTATTTTTTTTTGGTTTCCTCAGTTTCTAAATTTTCGTGATTTTGAAATTTTCATTTATTCAATTTTGCAATTTTTCGATTTCCAGTTTTCATTTTGGTTTTTTATTTTCTTTATTTCTCCAATTATTCGATTTTTCAGTGTTCCGATTTTATAATTTTTTGTTTTTTCAATTTTTATATTTTGCAATTTTTCGGTTTAAAATTTCTTGAGTTTTCAATTTTTGATTTTTTCTATCCTTTAATTTTTCATTTCTTCATATTTTCGACTTTTCAATGATTTTATAAACTGTTGTTTCTTCAATTTCAATTTTTTCCATTTTATTTTTCATTTCTTCAATTTTTCGATTTGCATTTTCCAATTTTTCATTTTTTTTTTGTTTCTTCAGTTTTCCAGATTTTGAATTTTTCAATTCTTAGATTATGCATTTTTTCGATTTAAGTTTCACGAGCTTTCAATTATTTTTTCGATTTTGTAATTTTTTGTTTTTTCAATTTTAATTTTTCATTCTTCGGTTCTTCAATTTTTAGAGTCTAAAATTTTTTGGCTTTAACTTTCTCGAGTTTTCAATTTTTAATTTTTTTGATTCTATAATTTTCATTTTTTCAAATTTTGGGTTTTTATTTTCCTTTCCTATTTCACATTTTTGGATTTTTCAATGTTTAGATTTTACAAATTTTTGTTTTTCCAATTTTTCGTTTCTTCAGTTTTTTTAATTTTCTAAAAATTGGAAACTCGAGAAATTTTATTGCAATTCGATTTTATAATTTTTTGTGGTTTCAATTTTTCGATTTGCGATTTTTCAATTTTTTATTTTTTTTGTTTTTTCATTTTTAGATTTTGCAATTTTTCGGTTTAAAATTTCTCGAGTTTCCAATTCTTAATTTTTCGATTCTTTAATTTTTCATTTCTTCAAATTTTCGATTTTTCAATGTTGCGATTTCATAAATTTTTGTTTTTCAACTTCAATGTTTTCAGTTTTAGTTTTTCTTTCTTCAACTTTTCGATTTTGCATTTTTTATTTTTAATTTTTTTTGTTTCTTTCATTTTTCAACTTTCCAGATTTTAGATTTTGCAATTTTTGGATTTCAGTTTCTCGAGTTTACAATTTTTGATTTAATTTCTCGATTTTCAATTTTTCGTTTCGGACTTTCATTTTCTCTCTTTCTTCGATTATTCGATTTTTCAGTGTTCCAATTTTATGATTTTTTGTATTTTCAATTTTAATTTTTTCGATTCTTTAATTTTTCATCTCTTCAAATTTTCAATTTTTCAATATTGCGATTTTACAAATTTTCGTTTTTTTTGGTTTCTTTAGTTTTTCAACTTTTCCAGATCTTGAATTTTTCAATTTTTACATTTTGCAATTTTTCGATTCGATTTTCTCCAGTTTTTAAATTTTAATTTTTGATTTGGGTTTCTTATTTTTCCTATTTTTATAATTTCTCGATTTTTCCAATTTCAATGTTTGCATTTACGATTTGCATTTTTCAATTTTCATTTTTTTGTATTCCAAATTTTGAATTTTTCAATTTTTCATTTCGGTTTTGTATTTTCTTTCTTTCTTCGATTATTCGATTTTTCAGTGTTCCAATTTTATAATTTTTTGTAATTTCAATTTTAATTTTTTCAATTTTTCGTTTCTTCAATTTTTAGATTTTGCAATTTTTCGGTTTAAGACTTCTCGAGTTTTCAATCTTTAATTTTTTCGATTCTTTAATTTTTCATTTCTTCAAATTTTCAATTTTTTAATATTGCGATTTTACAAATTTTCGTTTTTTCAATTTCAATTTTTTCAATTTTGTTTTTCCTTTCAATTTTCGGTATTTGCATTTTTCAATTTTTCATTTTTTTTTTGTTTCTTTAGTTTTTCACTTTTTCCAGATTTTGAATTTTTCAATTTTTACATTTTGCAATTTTTCGTTTCTTCTAATTTTCGATTCGTAATTTTTGATTTGGGTTTCTTATTTTCCCTATTTTTATAATTTCTCGATTTTTCCAATTTCAATGTTTCCATTTACGATTTGCATTTTTCAATTTTTCATTTTTTTGTTTTCCAAATTTTGAATTTTTCAATTTTTCATTTCGGGTTTTTATTTTCTTTGTTTCTTCGATTATTCGATTTTCAGTGTTCCGATTACAATTTTTTGTATTTTCAATTTCAATTTTTTCAATTTTTCGTTTCAATTTTTGCAATTTTTCGGTTTAAAACTTCTCGAGTTTTCAATCTTTAATTTTTTCGATTCTTTAATTTTTCATTTCTTCAAATTTTCAATTTTTTAATATTGTGATTTTACAAATTTTCGTTTTTTCAATTTTGTTTTTCCTTTCAATTTTTCGATTTGATTTTCTCCAGTGTTTAAATTTAAATTTTTCAATTTTTCGTTTCTTCTAATTTTCGATTCGTAATTTTTGATTTGGGTTTCTTATTTTCCCTATTTTTATAATTTCTCGATTTTTCCAATTTCAATGTTTGCATTTACGATTCGCATTTTTCAATTTTTAATTTTTTTTGTTTTCCAAATTTTGAATTTTTCAATTTTTCATTTCGGGTTTTTATTTTCTTTCTTTCTTCGATTATTCGATTTTTCAGTGTTCCGATTTTATAATTCTTCAATTTTAATTTTTTCATTTTTTCGTTTCTTCAATTTTTATATTGCAATTTTTCGGTTTAAAATTTCTCTAGTTTTCAATCTTTAATTTTTCATTTCTTAAAATTTTCAATTTTTCAATA